TTTGATCCCAGCTGCTGGCCATGCGCCTTGCGTTGGTTTCGAAAATGGTATCAACAAAACCGACTGTTCAGGAGCAATGGCAAACTGCTAGACGTAAATCTGCCTAGAAAGACCACACAATAGCCAGGGGCTGTTAGGGTTGGTTCTGCAACGTCCTGTAAAGGATACGCAACTAACCTTATGTGTCTAACGATTAACCTGTTTTGGAGGCCAAAACAAAAACATAGACCTCCTGAATCAGCGGTTCTTAACCAGTGGGTCGCGACCCATTTGTGAATCAAACGACCCTTTTATAAGGGTCGCCTGAAACCATCGGAAAACTGAAGTTATAAAGTAGCAATGAAAATACTTGTATGACTGAGGGTCGCCACAACGCGAGGAACTGTATTCAAGGGTCGCCACAACGCGAGGAACTGAATTTAAGGGTGGCCACAACATGAGGAACTGTATTAAAGGGTCGCTACAACAGGAGGAACTGAATTAAAGGGTCGCCACAACATGAGGAACTGAATTAAAGGGTGGCCACAACATGACGAACTGAATTGAAGGGTCGCCACAACATGAGGAACTGTATTAAAGGGTCGCCACAACAGGAGGAACTGAATTAAAGGGTCGCTACAACATGAGGAACTGAATTAAAGGGTTGCCACAACATGAGAAACTGAATTAAAGGGTCGCCACAACATGAGGAACTGCATTAAAGGGTCGCCACAACGCGAGGAACTGAATTAAAGGGTCGCCACAACATGAGGAACTGTATTAAAGGGTCGCCACAACGCGAGGAACTGAATTAAAGGGTCGCCACAAGATGAGGAACTGAATTAAAGGGTGGCCACAACATGAGGAACTGAATTAAAGGGTGGCCACAACATGAGGAACTGAATTAAAGGGTCACCGCATTAAGGAACTGTATTCAAGGGTCCCACCCCAAGGAACTGTATTGTCCTCCACAAGCGTGTAACTTTAGAGGGTTACTGAAAACTATGTGTAGGAAGGCAAACATGAGGCTGAATTAAAGGGTCGCCGCAGAGGAACTGGCTTAAAACTACGCCACATCAGGAGGAATCATCATTTAAGAGTCGCCACAAACATCAAAATTCTGAAAGGGTTCCACAACATCCCGGAACTGAATTAAAGGCTCGCTACAACAGAGGAACTGTATCCTGGGTCCCCAAAGCGAGGAAGTGAATTAAAGGGTCGCCACATCATGAGGAACTGTATTGGGGTCTTGGACAACGCGACGAACGATGGAGGGTCGCCAGTTTGTGAAAGGAACTGTATTAGGGGGTCGCCACACGCGAGAAGATGGATACAGGGGTCATGGAAGATGATTGGAAATGAAAGGGCCACATATGGGAACTGAATTGAGCTGGCTAGCCACAACGGTTAGGAACTGAATTAAAGAGCACCGTTCTAGGAAAGCTTGAGACTTGCCCCAAATGATGTCCTCAAAAGCGTGTATTTAGGCAACTGAAATCCTATGTGTACTTTTAAAGAGGCTGATATCGCACTCCTTCTCATAAACTACAACGTATCGTTTTTCATTATTTATTCATCCAAAAACATCAAAATTCACGATCAAACACCCAGAGAATCATTTCATAAACATCATCCTGTCCCGAAAGTTGTAGTCTTCTTTTCCACATCAAGTGTTATGGTGGCTTGGAAAAGACAATGATGGAGGGTACAGTTTGTGGAAGGCGAGGCAGGGGTCGACCACCGCGAAGATGGATACAGGACATTGAAGATACGTTGGAAATGAAAGCACATAGGGCCGGTGAGCTGGCTAGGGAAACGGTTACTTTCAGGCGCGCCGTGAAGCGAGCGACGTTCTGTAAAGCACTTGCTTATTGATGAATAAAAAGCTAATTGGCAAAGAAAATGATTACTTTTAGTTGTGCTCTTCTTACTCCTTCTCATCCTAGCTCTCCTGTTAGTTTTTCTTTCTTATTCATCCACATTATCCTCACCATCATCACCCTGGTTATCATTTCATTATCATTGTTATTAGTATCTTCTTTTCCTTTTCTTTTTGTTCGGGGCAAGGGGGCAGGAGAGGGGATGCGTGGTCTCGAGGCATGGTGTCCACCTCGAGTGCTAGAGGTTCCGGGTTCAATCCCCGGTAGGGCTGGTATTTTTTCACTCAATATTTTCGCATCATTCGTCTATAACAGTGGAGTACCTAGGGTATATGGTGCTCATAGCAGGGCAGGGGAGGGACGGAGAGAGGGGCAGAAAATGTCTGTAATCTGCAATAGCAATTGCTCAATGTTGGGGCTACTTTTAAAGAGCGTCTGTCTAGGACCTTTGCATGTAGAATTCAAGGGATATGAAAAGTATACTGGGTGTACCTTGTTTAAGTGTGTAATTTGCGCAATGTAAACACTGATGAAAGAGAGAAAAACAGTTGGGGGGGGGGGGAGCGCCCTTTTAAGTGGCGCTTAGGGCATCTGCCCTGCCCGTCATACCCTTCTTAGCATTCACCGGATGTAAAGTCCAGCAGAAAGCTGTGGTTGTTCGTCCACTTCTGGACTTTGGTCTTGTTCCAGAACTTAAATTTTGCGTGCACTTCCGTTCTTTACATGTGGCTTACTGTATGCAGACTGCTAGTTCCTCGACACTAAGACAGATGTATCCCTGATGCTGCTTCCACGTACATTTTGTTACCACCAATTGGATAACTGTCCATGATTCACCTCAGTATCATTAACTATATAGTTGTTATGAAATCTTCTCTTCACCTGAACAGACAGAGACAGATTTCATACAATGCTCTTCATGAAATTCACATACTATAATGAAATTCACACACTATGAATGAAATTCACATACTCTGAAGGAAATTCACATGCTATGAATGAAATTCCACATACTCTAAAGGAAATTCACATACTTTGAATGAAATTCACATACTATAAATGTATGAAAATCAGGATGTTGTCAAAAAGAGCTATAGAAGTAAAGACTGATTTGTACTTGTGCTTCATAGACTATACAAAAGCATTTGACTGTGTGAAGCATGAAGAAGTAAGCAAACTGTTAGACAAATTAAACATTGATGGAAAAAGATCTACAAATAATAAAGAATATGTATTGGCAGCAAACGGCAGCTATAAGAATTAACAACTGTTTATGTACATTTCAAAGCATAAAGAGAGAGCGTACGACACGGATGTGTACTGTCGCCTAATTTGTTTTCACTATACAGTGAATATCTTCTTCTTCTTCTTCGCGTTCACCAGCTGTACACTCTGGCGGAAAGTTCTGGTTGCTCGTCCACTACTGAACTGCAGTCCTGCTCCAGAACCTGAGTGTTGCGTGTGCATCAGTTTTACAGATCTCATTCTCTTGAATACAGACTGTTGGTTCCTTGCCTCTCCGGCAGATGTACTCCGACTTCAAAGGAAGCTCCCCCCAATTAGTCGACTCTTACGACATGCTTTTGGGGAGGCAGTGGGTCTATTCTTGTTTTCCCCACAATGGGGCACCGGAACCCACACGGGGGACAGTGAATATACAATGAGATCTTTAATTGATATGCCCGGAATTGTGGTTGGTGGGCACAATATAAACAATTAACGTTATACTGATGACACAGTCTTTATAGCAAAAGTCATAAAAAACTATGGGAAATGATAGACATCGTGGTGTTAGAAAGTGGAAGAATGGGCCTCAGTATAAATAATGGGAAGACAGAAGTAATGGTAGTATAAAAGAAACAAATTATTTTTGATGACCCTGCTTTGCATGGTCTCCACGAGTACATTGTGGCAAGCAGAAAGTCCGTGCTATAAGTGACAGCACGAAATACTTGTGGCCGGGGGAGGAAGCGAGGGAAAGCCCGAGCTAGCATCGTGGTCAGTCGATCATGAGAAGTCAGAGAAGACGGTTGTAGTATTTGAAGATGTCGTCTTTATGTCGCGAGAATGGTTAATGTTTGAATATGTCGCGAGTGATAAAGTGTAAATAATGTTTGAACATGTGAAATAAATGGACCAGAATAAACTGACAGAATGTACAAAAGAGCCGAGTGGCGTTTGTGTTGTCAACCCTAGACTTTAAAGCAGTGCAAGTTTTGTAGCAGTAAACATCCAGAGAGTGAGCCGTGGCTAAAGCCAATATGTAGTGAGTCGAGGTGCATGACGAGTAAAGTCGTTGTAAACCAAGGTTCATTCCAAGTGAAGCATCGCTTCATTCCAAGTCGAATAAGAATCATTTCAAGGTGCAAACAGCGATTCATTACATTATTCCTAAATGTATAATAAAATTCGATGGAGTTACTTTACAAGTACATAAATTTAAGTATCTGGGCACATGGATAACATCAGATGGAAAAAGCATAACTGGATAAGAAACATAATAGGACTGGCAAAAACCGCATTTTATAAAATGAAGAACATCTTGTGCAATATATCTTTGTCATTGAGAGTTAGAAAAAGTAATTCTTGCTTGCTACATACATCCAGTTTTAACATATGGATGTGAATTCTGGACAATCGGTAGGCAGGCCAAACAATTTCTCGAGGCCTCCAAATTGTGGTTTTACAAAAGAATGCTTATAATACATTAGACAGCCAAAAAAGATCAACCAAGGGGTTTAGAAAGAGGCGGGAGCCCGAAGACAACTTATCACAGATATCAGAAGGAGACAGTCCTCATTTTTCGGCGATATTATAAGAGGGAAAATAGAACATTTTATGACCACTTGAAAGATCTGGGGAGGGATAGAGGAAGACAACGAGAGAAGACGCTTGACAGTCTTGTTGCATGGCATGGAGGTGTGGCGGCACACGAACTGATACATGCTGCAGGAGATCGCGGATTGTTGAGAGGCATGATCGCCCACACCAGTCGACCTGGGACCTGATGATGATGATAAATGAAATTCACATAGCTAGAAAGAAATTCACAAACTATAAATGAAAATCACAGAATATGAATGAAATTTACATACTAAAATTAATTGTTCTAATGACTAAACAGCATATAACATCACTCACCATCACTTGTCTGCCGCATCCACGGATAGACTGGCATATTCGGCGATCCGATCCCAGACATGCAGGCTGGATTAGGCATACTCGGATTATATCCATTAGGTGAGATGCTTGGATCCGGCATGGATTGTTGTGGATAATAATAAGGTGGCATCTGAGGGAGCTGACAAGCGTCAGCCGAGAGGGGTTTGCAGTCCAGCATTCTGTTATCGTAGTAAATATCAGACGGGCGATGGTGGACACTGTGTAAGGGGTATGGGGAGTACTGTTGAGCAAGAGGAGGTGTCATGTTCGTCATGGATGCGGGAGATGGCTGGGGCTGTACCAGCGACAATGGAGGATGTTGCTGCAGCTGTTTATGTTGATGCTGCTCCAGGTGATTTTGAGGATGGTCCGGAGGGTCTACCCGATGCTGGGGTAGGTTGAGATCATGGTGCTGGGGGTGGTTGCTGGTCGAGTGGTGTTCTTCTCGGTGCTGGAGACGATGCTGATGAAGCGTGTTTGGTAGTTGGTGTTGTGGGGTTGAGTGGTACGAGACGGGCAATTGATGCGTCTGCTGTTGCTGTTGATCAAGCTGATGATGATGGTGGCGATGAGGGTCCAAATGTTTTAAGCTCAGGCAGACACTACTATCCGTGGCTCCTCTGACGCAACGACTCTCCACCCGAGCATCGTAACCGTATTGTAGATAACCTGGTGAGTAACTGGGTGGGCACCCGTCAAACACAACCCCACCAGCATCAGAACCGCTTGAACTGTACTCCAACACACCGGAACTCATGTACACATTGTCATACTTCCCGTGATCCTCCACGCACATCCCCACTGGGTCCATCCCTATCCCATCCCCGTGGTTTGAACCCAGAGATCCCCCTAAGAATCCACTAGCACTTCCAGGAAGGGAGTTTGGAGAAGCCATCGTCGGGGGATGCAACATGCTGACGTAATACGAACTCATCTTCTTCGGTTAAAAAGCTGTTCTTCTGTTTTTGCACATTTATATGTAGTTCTATTTTATGAGTTTCCTTGAACCAAATACATCTGTAATTATTAAAATTTAAAATTAGAAACCTGTTTTACGGCCTTTTAATTCAATTTTTCAGGACAGTTTAGCGTAAAACATGCACAAGAGCTTGTATAAATCACAGCCTAGTATACGGAAGCGACTAAGAATTCTACATGTGTATAGCCATTTTATCGTGACCAACTATTTCCATCAACGACAAACTGTATTTCTTGTGACGACTGTTGCCTTTTGGGTCTCTAGCAACTACCGTATGCATTTAAAGCATGAGCATATCTCTGAATTGTTTCGGTACTATTTGTTCACCAGCTTTTCAAATGTGACAGTGAGGGACCTTTTATTTTGGCTTTTACTGGCACAGGAACGGAGCAAGTACGGCCCGATTACAGTGAAGTTGACACTCTTCTAAGACCAAGACGGAAGTGACTCATGGGAGCTCAGCCGATTCGTGAAACATTATCTAGGAGTGTCTGAGATGTGTTTAGGTTCTTTATTAATATCTTACCCCCCTGATGACATCACAGGACAGTCCAACATATTATAGGGTAGTAAGACTGGGTTTCCCGGCTTTCTGATGCTTTTAACGACCCCAAAAAATCTAGAACTGGCCCTAACCCCAACCTACCTACGTCACACGAGAGAGTGCGGCCTAGGTCCCACAACTGCATGTAGCCCATCTACCAACCCCTGAAATATTAGACTGTCCCGTGACCTGTGGATGTCCCATGTTTGGGGTAGGATATTAATAAAGCAGCGAAAATGATTCACGCAGAGGGCTGATTGCCATCATCATCATCATCAGCAGACGATTATCTGCGTTCTTTGGTCATTTCCTGAGAAGGAGAAAACTGAAGTAAATCATGGCGGTAGGAAAGTTGGAAGGGGCGATGTAGAGAGAGAGAGAGAGAGAGAGAGAGAGAGAGAGAGAGAGAGAGAGAGAGAGAGACAGGGAGAGAGACAGGGAGGGAGACAGGGAGCGATAGACAGATAGGAGGCGACAGAGAGATGGATAGAGAAAGATAGAGAGACAAAGGGAGGGAGAGATGATAGAGAGAGATGGATCGAAAGAAATAGAGAGATAGAGAGAGATATAGAGAGAGAGAGGGAGAGATAGACAGATAGATAACGAGAGAAGAGAGATGGATAGAGAAAGAGTGATAGAGAGAGAGAGAGATAGAGATAGAAGAGAGAGGCAGAGAGAAACAGAGAGATGGATAGAGATAGAGATAAAGAGATAGATATAGAGATAAATAGAGAGATAGCGAGATAGACAGAGAAGCAGATGTGGAAATAGATAGAGAGAGAAATAGTGAGATAGGGAGACATAGAGATAGAGAGAGATAAAGAGAGATAGAGACACAGATAGAGAGAGAGAGGACAGAGATAAACAGATAGAGAGAAACAGAGAGATGGATAGAGATAGAGATATAGAGATAGATATAGAGATAAATAGAGAGATAGCGAGATAGAGAGGCAGATGTAGAAATAGATAGAGAGAGAAATAGTGAGATAGGGAGACATAGAGATAGAGAGAGATAGAGAGTTCGTGGATAGAGACAGAGCATGGAGTATGGAACATCATTGGCAGTCAGAGAGATTGAAAGATACGAAACAGAAGGTCGTGGAATAACTAACAACATACAGAAAGAGAGGGACTATGAGAAGAGATCTGTGGGAACTGATTTAAATTACACTACAAAAGTCGTGACATAACATGGCCAACACCTCACGGCATGCGTCATAGAAGTCATAATCACAAACTATGTCAGGGGTGATTGAAAGTACACTGAGATAGGTTCGGCTGTAGCGAAAATACAGCCAGACCAAACTGATCATCTGTGTCAGAACTGATTGAAAGTACACGAGACGAAAGTTCGTGGAATAACTACCAACATTACACGGCATGGAGTATGGAATATCATCTGTGTCAGAACTGATTAAAATTACACGAGACAAAAGATCGTGGAATAACAAGACTGCCAACACCACACGGCATGCGTCATAAGAAGTCATAATCCTACAAACTGAAATAAGACCATGCATTGATTATATTAACAGACAAAATAATGAAATGGTTCAGCCGTCAAGCGAAAATACAGCCAGACCAAACTGCATATAAGACTTTTAACAGAAAGAAAGGAGAGTGGAAGGCGAAGAAAATGATGGGTAAATTGAGTAGCTGAAACGTGAAAAGAAAGAAAAAAAAAAAACATTCTACCACCCAAGCGACCGGAGAAGGGCAAAGGAAATCCAGGTAAGCTACACCACTTGGCTACAACCAAGAATCAGTGAGACGACAAATGAAGAAGAAGAATCAAATCAACTAAGCTACAAACTAGAATCAGTGAGACGACAAATGAAGAAGAAGAATCAAATCAACTGAGCTACAACCTGGAATCAGTGAGACGACAAATGAAGAAGAAGAATCAATCCAACCGAGCTAAAACCTGGAATCAGTGAGACGACAAATGAAGAAGAAGAATCAATCCAACTAAGCTACAAACTAGAATCAGTGAGACGACAAATGAAGAAGAAGAATCAAATCAACTGAGCTACAACCTGGAATCAGTGAGACGACAAATGAAGAAGAAGAATCAAATCAACTGAGCTACAACCTGGAATCAGTATGACGACAAATAAAGAAGAAGAATCGCCCATTGGCTGGTCGGTAGACAACTTCGTCGCCGGTTGGGACAGTAATTGGATCTGTCTTTTGTGATCGCATTAATACTGCAAGAGTTTATTTCATAGCTACTTGGTGGCGAGAAGTGCTAAGCCATTGTATATGGCGCATAAAACCTAGTCACAATTATAACCTAAAGCCCCCCTTCATGGATGCCGGTTGAAAGTGACGATTTTTTTTTCTCGCAAATCAAGCAAAGTCAAGGGGTTTTATGAGGTCTGTACGTGGAGAATTCTAATCCGATTAATTACTCTTTGGGTCACTGGGTGTTAATCGCTCATATGCGGTCATAGTTTAGCTTCACCTGCCCTCATTAGAACACACTGTATATCTACAATGTCCGTTTACAGTAACACAGAATGTCCTTTTAGCGGAGCACACAGTATGTAAAAAGTAAAGTAAAGATCCCTTTTCACGCCTTAGGCGCATCGGGTCTATATAGGAGGAGCACCTATATATTACAGACCAATCGGCACTGGGTGGGTAATGTGGTCAGCATTACGCCGGCCGTCTTTACTTCCCTAGGACAGCCATCCTGGTACCCATTTGAGGCTGGTCGACCTGCGACGCCCCATACCATGATAAAAATCCACGCCGCCAGCAGTAGGTTTCGATCGTGGTACGTTGGATTACGAGTCGGACTCGCAACGCCTTAGCCACGGACGCCGCTAGGAGCACACAGAGTAAATTAAAAAGAAAAAGCTTCAAGGAAGTGATAAATAACACACACAAAGACTATCGATATGTTAACGGCCGCAGTGGTCTAGCGACTAGACGCTCGCTTGCGGATCTGAAGTTCGTGGGTTCGATTCCCGATGGGGGCCTCCTGACTTTTTTTCTCTCTCCAAAAATAACCTTGGCTCCTGTCGACCCAGCCTTGAGTGGGTACTAGGTGCAGTCCTGGGAAGTAAAGGCGGCCGGTGTGATGCTGACCCCATCACCCACCAAGTGTCGTTTGGTTTATAAAATATAGGTCTATACCCAATAGGCCTGAAACGCGTGGAAAATGGTCCTTTACTTTATGTGTCCAGGAACTTCTCCCTCCCCACCCCCCCTTTTTTTTTCTTCTCTCAGCTCTCGCCGGCTATAAACTCAATGCAGAAAGTTAAAGTTGTTCGTCCATTTCTGAACTTTGGTCGTGTTCTAGAACTTAAGCTTTGTGTGCACACCCGTTTTACATTTCGGGTATATATGTGTGCATGCTGTTGGTTCCTCTACTCTCAGGCTGATTTACTTCGACTTGGAAGGAAACATTCATAAGTGCATTCTGGGAATGAGTCTATTCGACCCCGCTCCCCCATCAAATAGTCCCGTACCCAAAAAGGCGATATCTCACTGTCAACTGTGTGTCATTATGAAACCTGTCTATCTCACTGTCAATTTATGTCATTATGAAACCTCTCTATCTCACTGACAAATATATGTCATTATGAAACCTTTCTATCTCACTGACAATTATATGTCATTATGAAACCTGTCTATCTCACTGACAATTATATGTCATTATGAAACCTCTCTATCTCACTGACAATTATATGTCATTATGAAACCTGTCTATCTCACTGACAATTATATGTCATTATGAAACCTGTCTATCTCACTGACAATTATATGTCATTATGAAACCTGTCTATCTCACTGACAATTATATGTCATTATGAAACCTCTCTATCTCACTCACTGTCGGTTAACTGATATTATGTGTCATCCTTACCTTACCGTCAGTTATCTGTTGTTATATAACATCCCTATCACACCGTCAGTTATCTGTTGTTATATAACATCCCTGTCACACCGTCAGTTATCTGTTGTTATGTAACATCCCTTTCTCACCGTCAGTTATCTGTTGTTATATAACATCCCTATCACACCGTCAGTTATCTGTTGTTATATAACATCCCTGTCACACCGTCAGTTATCTGTTGTTATGTAACATCCCTTTCTCACCGTCAGTTATCTGTTGTTATGTAACATCCCTATCACACCGTCAGTTATCTGTTGTTATGTAACATCCCTTTCTCACCGTCAGTTATCTGTTGTTATGTAACATCCGTATCACACCGTCAGTTATCTGTTGTTATGTAACATCACTTTCTCACCGTCAGTTATCTGTTTTTATGTAACATCCCTTTCTCACCGTCAGTTATCTGTTGTTATGTAACATCCGTATCACACCGTCAGTTATCTGGTGTTATGTAACATCCTTATCTCACCGTCAGTTATCTGTTGTTATGTAACATCCTTTTCTCAC